CCGCGGTCAGGTCCGGAGCCTGCAGGTCCGGAGCAGGCAGGAGGGGTGCCGAGCGCGTTGGCGCTGTTCCTTTAAAAGCTCTAGAGACCCGGGGAACAGCGTCTCTTACGGCAAAGTGCTCGGGCCGGTAAGCATCGGTCTCCAACGGAGGCAGCTCTTCCTCTACATGGGGCTCACCGGTAGGAAAGGCGTCCTCCCACGCGGGCATTAGGGAGCAGGCACCTAGGAAGATCGCTGTCTCCCCCTCATACCGCACTCGGCGCGGCTTTCGCCGCTTCCTTCCGGAGCTGGGGTTTTGAGCGGTAGAAGCCGTGTTAAGCTCAGTCGTGCGCTTGGAGAAAGTCGTCTGTCGCTGGGCGGCTGGAGCCTTCGCAGTCTTGCTTACGACCGTCTTTAGCACAAGTGAGAGTGTTGAGGAGGACAAGGCTGGAGATCACTCTGCCATTAAGTTAGAAAAGCAGACTGGATGCTATAAAGGAGGGTGGTGCTTGAAATCATTGTTCTTCCTCTGTTAACCATGGTTACCTGCAAGGAAAAACATGCAGTCATCATTTCTTTGTACAAAAATGGCTTCACGGGCAAGGAAACTGCTGCTAGTAAAATTGCACCTAAATCAGCCATTCATCGGATCATCAAGAACTTCAAGGAGAGAGGTACAATTGTTGTAAAGAAGGCTTCAGGGTGCCCATGTAAGTCCAGCAAGTGCCAAGACTGTTACCTAAAGTTGATTCAGCTGTGGGATTGGGGCACCACCAGTGCAGAGCTTGTCCAGGAATGGCAGCAGGCAGTTGTGAGTGCATCTGTATGCACAGTGAGGCAAAGACATTTGGAGGATGGTGTGGTGTCAAGAAGGGCAGCAAAGAAGCCACTTCTCTCCACGAAAAGCATCAGGGACAGACTGATATTCTGCAAAAGGTACAGGAATTAGACTGCTGAGGACTGGGGTAAAGTCATTTTCTCTGTTGAATCCCCATGCCGATTGTTTCGGAAATCTGGAAAAAAGATTGTCTAGAGAAGAAAAGGTGAGCGCTACCGTCAGTCCTGAGTCATGCCAACAGTAAAGCATCCTGAGACCATTCGTGTGTGGGGAGTGGGCTCACTCACAATTATACCCATGAGTAAAGAATGGTACTAAAACATCCTCCAAGAGCAACTTCTCTTAACCATCTAACAAACAGTTTGGTGATAAACAATGCTTTTTCCAGCATGATGGAGCACTGTGGAAAAAGTGATAACTAAGTGGCTCTGGGATCAAAACATCAACATTTTGGGTCCATAGCCAGGAAACTCCCCAGACCTTAATCCCATTGAGTCCTCAAGAGGCAGGGTGGACAAACAAAAACCCACAACTTGACAAACTCCAAGCATTGATTCTGCAAGAATGGCCTGCCATCAGTCAGGAATTGGCCCAGAAGTTGATTGACAGCATGCCAGGGAGAATTGCACAGATCTTGAAAAAGAAGGGCCAACACTGCAAGTATTAACTATTTTCATAAATTTAATGTAAGTGTCAATAAAACCCATTGACACTTATTAAATGCTTGTAATTATACTTCGGTATAACAGAAACATCTGACAAAAAGATTTACAAACACTTAAGCAGCAAACTTTGTGAAACCAATACTTGTTATACATGTATGTAACAGTTTTATGACATTGTAGATAGTCTGTAGGGTTTGCAGAGTAAACAAATGCTTTTGATTTAGTTAATTGTAGGTGTATAATGGAATGATGTGGATTTGCTTTAAGATTTCTTGCGTGAGTGTGAGTGTCACGCAGGATACGGGAGAGTTGGCAAACCCTGAAAATGTGTGTTTTTTTTAATTGCTTCATCTGAGTTGATTTGTATGAAAAATAACATTATACAGTTGTTAAAAAAGAGGGACAAACGTGAAATCAATAAACTACGTCTATTTAATGTTTTATAAAATGTATACTGCATTTGAAGACTTTTCAGGTGTACAACTTCAGGACAGAGCAGTCACACTGTTAGGAGCATTGTGTCTTTTTGGTTGAGGGTGTTTGAGTCACGGCTGTTATTAATACTAATGGCACATTAGCTCAAAAAGAGCTGCATATGCCGAAGTATGTCTTGCTTGGTGGTAAAGGAGTCTGATGTTCTTTGGCATGGGAAACGGTGGTTCTAGTGATAAGCCATGTAGACACTGTGAGAAGCATTTAACTTTTTTTTTTTTACTTTTATTTGGAAAGATGAGAAGAGCTGCTTAGTAAGCCATCTTGAGTGTCACAGCCAAGGTCTTTCTTTTCTTCAAAAATGCCTTTCTGGACTTAAAGGTTGAAAATGGTTGCAAAGCATGAGAAAATTGGTCTTGGACACATTCCTTTTCCTTATTGTCACGACTTTTACTAATGAGTGCCAAATCTCTCATGTTTATTTACTGTAGCTGTTTATAATATGAAATTCATTAACATATAAAATTAATAACATTTCTATACAGCACTCAGATTCAGAGATGTGCACTTTGCGGAAATGAGAATTTTACTTTTAAATGTGAAGAAAATAAAAATATATATTAATTTCAAAATGTATGCAAGATAGACCATAGGGAGATGTTTGCGATTTTATTTTTATTATTTTGATAAACCTTACTTAATCAAAATTCCTCATGTTAGCTAACAAGTCAGACTAAGTGAGAATAACCATATTATCAAGGAACAAGAGTGCACACATTGTTTGAGAAATTGGACCTAGTAGGAGAACTGACTTTCTGTATATGTTTTCTTTAAAGTTTCCTGTAATAGTGACGAGAAGCAACAATGTTTATGGACCAAATCAGTACCTGGAAAAGGTAAGCAACCCCACCGCTGTCACGCCCCGCTCCGTCCGCTCCCGATGTGTGCCACGCCCACCTCATTACCTCCTGTTTTGCCCTGATTGTTCTAACCTGTGGCTTGTTGTCCGTGGCTTGTCTAGTGTATTTAGTCCTTGTCAGAGTCAGTTATCCCCAGATCAGTCATTGTGTAGTGTCCGTTGATGTTCCCGCTTGTACGTCTGCCTGCTATTAAACCCCGTTACCCTGACTACCTGGCTACGCTCGCCTGCTTCCTACTCGCCCTACCCGCGAGCGTGACAACCGCAATGTAAAATGTGTGCGATGGATACTGTTAAGAAGTGGAGTAGGCACACTTAGTAGGCATGTCTGACAAATCTTTGCTTGTTCCTCAGGTCATTCCAAGATTTATTTCTCTTCTGGAGCAGAATAAGAAGTGGTAAGAAATAATTGTGGCTAAAAAAAGGTATTGTTTTACTGTGTTACTGTGCAGAAGCAAAGAATGGTTTTTAAAGTGGTTTATTCTTCATTTACTGCAAAATGACAGCATGCATATGATGGATGATGTGTTACCCCTAAGGACTGAGGTTTATCATCTACATATGAGGTGAGGATGATGGATTTTCTCAAGGTATTTTCTGAATGCCCTTGTTCTTGTGGTCACATGCCCCCTACAGCACGATTCAGGGCACAGGCCTCCAGTCCCGGAATTTCCTGTATGCAACGGACGCCACTGAGGCCTTCCTCACTGTGCTGGAGAGGGGAGACCCAGGAGAGATTTACAACGTGGGCTCTGACTTCGAGCTGTCCATCATCCAGCTCGCCAGACAGCTGATTACGCTGGTAATTTTTAAAATGAAATTTAGAGTATTCCTTTTGTCCTTGCCCTGAGTGAAGTGATGACGTTCCACAGCACTCGGGTGTTTTCTGTCACACAAACGATTGATATGGGATATGTGGAGAAGGCAACATCTCTCTCTTTCCACTGCCCCCCATCTTGTACTGAAAGTGTAATAAATATTTCAATGATTTATTTCTTCCCCTCTTTTGTTATTTGTTTTTATGTGCAGTTTTTAAATTCTTTGAAGACTGATTGTATTTCAACTTGAACAGATCCCATTCACCAGAGACCCTGGTCTATCCTCTTGTCAGGCAGCAGGAGACTCAGTTCCAGCTCTGTGCTGCATGTGTAACCTCTCAGGTCACTTTGTTTTTGTCTTTACCCCTGATATTGCAAGTTTGCTTTTCTTTTGAAATTTATTTTAGAACAAGGGTCGAGTTCATTTTGTGCATCACATGAGTCGACAGCTGTTATGTTTTTAATTGTATCCCTGTAACCCAGAAATGGACAAGCAGTATAGAGAATAAATAAATGAATGAATGTATCTATGTATCTATCTCTTGTGTATTGTAGATGAAGGGCACGTCGATTCTGACCAATCCTGACGACTGGCTCAGCTTTGTCAAAGACCGGTGAGCACAGAGCCTGAGGCATGTCCTAATGTTTGGAGAGGGGGTGGGGATGGGGACCGGGACCAGGGTGGTAAGCCCCAGGCTACACAGAGATGGGCACTCTGGAGTGCCGACTGGGTTAAATGCCTGAATTTAGTGGTCCACTTGTAGTCGGGTCATTAAATGAAGCATATATTTTATCGGCTCCATAGTGGGAGCCTTTCTAGGGCCTTTCTTCTCATAAGCGCTTCCTCCCTTGTAGCCCCCACAATGATCTGAGGTACCCAATGAACTGGGACAAACTGCGGAGGCTTGGCTGGAAGCCCAGGGTCACCTGGCAGGAGGGGATCCGAAGGACTGGTAAGGAGGCCTGTGACATGAGAGCGCTCTCTCTTGTTAGGGGAATGTCATGATGAGAAGGACTCTTAGTAGTGGATATGTGCTTATTCCCTGATGTCAAGCCAGTTGCATCTTGCTGCTTGACTTACAGAGGGTGTGCTGTTCTGTCTTTCAGTGGATTGGTACAAAGAGAACCCAGAGCACTGGTCCGCTGAGGAATGTGGGGTGCGGATCAGCCAGCTGCAGGCCAAGAAACAGCCTGGCATACCGAAAGCACCATATCCTCCCTAGCACCTTTGTGATTTCACTTAATCGTTCTTCCTTGTTATGTGGCTCACTCACCATGAAATCATGTTCCTTACTATATTGTATTTAATGATGAATAAAATGTTTTACTACACAGTCTATGGGGGTTACACCTGAAAATCTGTTGTTGGTTCGCATGATGTGCTGCATGGAACATGGGAGGGGTGGGGCCTCAAAATCTAACCTCACTTCACCTTAATCCAATCAGATGGCAGGTGCAGACAAGGTTCACTAAGATTGCTGAGCAAAGTGGAAAAGGGGTTAGGGCACACCTCGGAAAACCAGTGGTTGCATGAACCTTGTGAGATGCAGATGTGTTCCCATGGTCATCATTATGGCTGTTATGTGTGTGACCGAGTCAGCCACAGGAACACTTCAGTACTTAAACAACAACAACAAATTTATTTTTGTATAGCGCATTATCACAACATTACATCGTCCCAAAGCGCTTTACAGCATCCCCACCCAAAGCCCCCAGTGAGTAAGACACAGGCAACAGTGGCAAGGAAAAACTCCCCAGAAGGAAGAAACCTTGGGAGGGACCAGACTCAAAGGGGGAGCCCATCCTCCAGGGGCCGGCAGGGAGAGTCAAAT